TATATATTGTTGTAACCATGTATAAAAGATTTTACTTGGCATAACTTATTGATATCATTTCTTTTGTAGAATAGATCTTGTAAAGGAAGATTTTGATAGTAATACTTTTTCTAGAGATACGAGTTGCGCATGTACTTGGCGCCTTTTTTTACCTTTTTTTTATTATACACATGAATTTTATACAAATTGAAGCAAACAAAAGTAATGATGAGAACATGCGTTCTCACGCTGAAGCATTCGAGATATTTGAAAAAGATCTTTGATGGTTCAAGGCACAACAAAAAACTGTAACTCTACATAGTTACTAATTATGTTAAAAAACTTTATATGCTTACCAGTCAAGAAGACATAAAATCTTTAAATATTGCAACAAACTATAAATTTTGAAACAAACTTTTTTTTATTTTTACTTGAATAAATAAAGTTTAATGCACAAAGAAATGATTGTTCTCATATCCAAAAATTCTATTCGGCCACTTTTATTTTCCTATTAGTTCGGATACGGGAGTCTCTACTGTATATAACAAAAAGTAGACTTAAATATAAAATTAATTAATTTTAATTAATTATAATTACTATAAAACATATTTTCTTTATTTGTATAGATCATTATGGAAAGAAAACTTTATCACGAACGCACAGAAGGCCGATATTTAAAAAACATTGGAAATAACACAGTAGAAACAGAGGACGTAGAAGTGAATGGAAGTACGTACCGCAATCACACAGATAATGTTGTTACTAAAATTTGATAAGGATAAAATATAAGATGAGGTTTTAGCGATATTTGAGTGAGATAATATTAACACAACAGAACATCTAATATTTTTTTGCTACATATATAAGATTTATTTAATGTTTTACTTACACTATAGAAGATAAATTAAAAAAACCTTGATGAAAAAACCAAACTAATAGAAAGTAAGTCAAATTAAATAAACACTGTATAGTATATGAGCTATCTTATAAATTTTGGAATGTGACTTAAATTTTATGTTATTATGTGCATAAAATATAATTTACATTTAAACAAATTCTCAAAGATTATAACAAGAAACATCTATATAGTGTTTTTGATAAATATGCTGATTAAGGAAGCAGCTTTTAACAAGGTTGATATTGACATATGTTATCAAGGTCATGACCTTGAGTGACCTTCAAAAAGTTTTAAATAATGCTCACTGTTCGTTAAAAAGTTATTAACAAAAAATGTTGGTAATTGTTGTTGGTAAATGTTGGTAATTATTAACAAAAAACGTTGGTAGATATGTGCGTTTTCCCAATTTTGGCTATTTTAATCCGGTTTTTATAAAAAACACTGTATTTTATCACTAAAATGAGGAATTAATCGGAGAAGCTTGAAAAAAACTGTTTATTAAAAAGTTATACTCACAAGAAGTTTTATAAATAAACCTTCAGTTTTGGATATTGTGTACATTTCTCAAGTAAATAATTAGTATAACTTTGAACTTTACATATTATATCAACATACATCTTTGTTTTTATGTCGTCATCGATTGTTTATGTCTTATAGGTAAATGTTTAATATAGAATAAATAAAAGAATAATTATAAAACTTACGATAAGCTTGAAAAGTATAGGCTTAGATGTACGGACTACGCTCGTTTCTGTGTGGGTGCACTCTCCCACATAAAAAAAAATAAAACTTAGGGAAAATATCAATGGCCGAAAGTATTCTTTAGAAAGTATCTGCGTGAAGTGTATTCCATTTCTCTACAGAAAGATACTACTATAAAAAAATTAGACACATAAGTGTATAAGTTTCATGTACACTTTCCAAGCAGTATTTTTAGCCATTGATACTTTCCCTATCTCTAAGTTTTGTTTTTTTTTTTTGGGAGAGTACACTCAGGGACAAGTGTAGCCCGTCCCTTTGTGCGTTATCTCACCTATGCATTAACTTTTCAAGCTTATCGTAATTTTTATAATTATTCTTTTATATTTATTCTATACGAAACATTTATATATAAAACATATTACGTCTACATTATCGTATATTATGTGTAAAAGACATATGTGTAAAAGGCAGATTTGTTTTTCTCTATACACAGTTTTTGTTAATAACTTTTCAACGAATAGTTATTAAGCATTACTTAAAAGGTGGGCATTACTTAAAAAGTAATAAAAAAGGTGAGCATTACTTAAAAAGTAATAAAACCTTTCGAAGGTTACTCAGGGTCATGACATTGATATAACAAACTCAGGGTTGTCGGAAGCTGCTCCCCTAATCGATATATTTACCGTGTTTTTTATATTTGAAAGGAAGGTCAGAAAAAAGTACCAATTTTTGCCTATAATCTGGGAAGTAAAATACATGTGAATTATTGTTGTTGGTACTTTACAGAATATGAAAACATGTTTTTAAGTATGGAAACTAATAAGCAATTAATGAGATTTGATGATAAAGATGTGATATTACAATATCAGCGGTTTTCAAATGTCGTATGTAGTATCTCACAAATGGTTCAACCGATTTTCTTCAAATTTGGTAAAAAAGTATTTTGAGGACAAGATAATATTTCTATTGATTTTTCGGGAAATCGACTCAGGCTCACAGAGGCGTGAAAAGGGAGTTTTGTGTCATATATTAGCATATCATCATCAAAATCTTGCATAACACTAGTTGAAAAAGATTTAGTAGTTCGAGTTGTAGTTTTAGAATATTTCGAACAAAACAAAGATTCATTGGATAAATGAAAAGAGGAGCGTGGTCATTTTCAAGCAATTTACCACATACCTCATGATTTTTTGTCATATTTGTTAATTAAAATAAACTAGAAACAATTAAAATAAAACTAACAAACCGGTGATTTAATGGTTGGATGGTTGTGATATTTTTTCAAATCGGAGTAACTCGAACTGACTGCGCGACTAGGATTCGACTCCAGGGCTCGATTCAAAAGTGAAATCGAGTCATAAAACAACGGAAAACTCGTTGCCTTCGTCCTGCTCAGAATTGCACGATCGCCATATGTTGCGACAATATGCAACGGCCGATTGAATATATAAAAAATGTAAAGGTACGACTCTTCGGCGGCACATGTTGCAATGTCTTTCGTAAGATCGTGATCTGCAAGGACACTGCCTTCAATTTTTCTTTTAGTTAAAACAGAACGCTACAATTTTAGACATGATATCGAAACAGTAAATTTTGGTTTTTTTTTTTTTTTGACTGTCACTTTAAATAAAAAAATTATTTTATTCTTGACATATACATTCCTGACAAACTAGGAATGCAAATTTCACTGATTAACCGACAGTATTTATTTATTTATTTAGACTTTTTAATATTTTGACGGTTCGCTTTTATACGTATTGTTCTGAGTTATTAGTCATGTATTTTCTTGATTTGCTAGCGCACATAACAGTTACTACTATTGCTGACTAATTCTGAATAGATGCGTACTAATTGTACCGGATAGCTCAATTTAAAATCTATATTATTGTGTACTCTATTATCAACCAATTTCCTAATCTAAAATTTAATATTGAATTACAGAATCTTTGCTGAAAAATATCAAAATAAATTAATGATCAAAACGTTCATTTACCATACAGATATGAGTTACTCCGATTTGAAAAAATACCACAACCGTCTAACTATTAAATCGCCGGTTCTTTGGTCTATTTTAAGTGTTTCTTTAATTGTTTTAAGCCGGTTTCTTTAACCACTTGCGGTAGAAAGACGTGCCACGCACGTCGAGATGCTTCAGTTCACCGGAACGCCAGCGACGTGTTCCACACGTCGTCAGGCGATTGTTGCAGAAAGAAAAATGACGTGCGTGGCACGTCAACTGTGACGCATTTATTTATTAATAAATAAATTTAGTATTCATACATATATGTAATTTTATCATTAGTTGATGCGCGTTCTGACACGCGCAACTGTGAATTTCTTTGCACCGCAAGTGGTTAAATTATTAAAATAGACCACCAGAAAAAAAAAACAAATTCAAACGGCTATGTAAAAACGTGTGGCACCCACGAATGTCCTGAATAACTCGGAGTTGCCGAGTATTCTACTTAAAATTCCCAACTGGAAATTCTTGATTGCAAGTAACGCGGGACAGTATTGCCCTTTCGTCGTAAACTTAAAATCGTAATGTTAGAAAACTTGCTAAGTTCAATAGAACCTGTGCGCAAATTGTCCGTCAGTGTTCTAAAATACACCCCCCGCTGCCGCATCAACAGTTTAATAGTAATTATGTTTCCATTGAATGCAGAATGTGATAAAAACAGTATTATACTACATGAAAGAACCAGCAAATGACGAGATGGATTTTTACATCAGAATGTTATATATTATAATCCATTAATTCTATTTTATTTGATATTACACGGAACAACTTCACTTACGCAAGTAAACATTATTACTTGATAATGATTTCAAGTAAATTGTGTAAATACAAATAGATATTCTTTGTCTTTATCCTAATTTATACTAGATCAAATAAATCGATTTTGAAATGTCATATTTACTTCATAAATATTTAGTTGCTAATATGAAAATAATTGTGTATTTAACGACTTTTTAGTCCAATTTAATTATTTTTTAATTATGTATTTGTCTTCAATAAATTCTTTTCCATGTACCGTTTAGTGGAAATGTAGTCATTAATGATATATCGGTATATATATTGTACATTCAGTATTTATGGCAAAATATTTTCTTCACTTTCTCTTGGAGGCTCGAGTCAATTTCCTCAAAGATCAACAGAAATATTGCCCTGTCCCCAAAGTACTTCCGTACCGAATTTGAAAAAAATCGGTCAACCGTTTACGAGATACTACACACAACATTTGAAAACCGCTGATATCGTAATATCACATCTTTATTATCAAATCTTATTAAGTTCCCATTGATTTTCATACTTAAAAGACATGTTTTCGTATTCTATAAAGTACCAACAACAATAATCCACACGTATTTTACTCTTCGGATAATAGGCAAAAATCGGTACTTTTTACCGAATCTTCTTGGTATAAAAGTATCTAAAGCTGAACTTCGGTTAATTTTACCATATATTATTTATGATTTTATAATTTTCTAGCATGATGTGCAAAAATAGATACAAAAGGTTTTGATTTACTTTTACTGATTGGCTAATGATGATCAAAATACTTAAATGATCAAAATATTTCAAAATTATTAAAATTGATGTTCGTTAAGACGGTACTGGATATCGACCTGTAAACTGAAGAGATTGACATTTTAAAAACTTAAATTTTTAAATTTATTTACTGAATCACATAAAAAATGCTTCTACAGAAAATAAATTCTACAGCAAATAAATATAGAAAATTGTAGATATAGTGCTTTTGAAAAAAAAAAAAAAAAATGGGTATATAATGCTCTCTCTGATAGGAAAACATTTACAAAATTATGTCATAAAATCTTGCACTAAAATTGTAATTTGCAATTATACAGATATATTTTAGGAAATAGATGTAAAACCATTGATCTTTTATAAAATATTTGTAGTTGTTTGCAAAATTACTTTCCAAATACTATTTCAGCAAAAGAATAACAATATGGCGAATTATCTTAGCAGTATATTTGCAAAATGAATTTCAAAAAGAAATTGTCCAATAATTGAGAAAAAACTTTCAGCTATGTGATGTTTAAAATATGTAGAAATATAATTGCATATGAAGAAAT